CCCTCATACCTTCATGTCCAGTGTCAGGATTCGCAGGCGAATGGTTTTTTCACCACAACGTGCTACCTTAAGAAAAATATGTGATTCCGAAGCTGGTACCTGAAGGGCCTGTCTCCTTAGCAACAGAACAGCTGCACAGCTGGCAAGCCAGTGCTTGTGGGTTAAAGATCATCAACAGACAGTCACTGCATGTTTACAGTAGTCAGAGAACTGCGCCAATCATGGCAGAGAGTTTGGGGAAAAAAACGGCATAAACCCACAAAATGTTTAAAATCCAGTTTGAAAAGCAATGCATTTCAGCACTCGTTAAAGTAGATATGAGCCCGGCTGGCGTGGCTCAGCGGCTGAGCATCGACCTATGAACCAGGAGGTCACCATTCGTTGCCCAGTCAGGGCACATGCCTGGGTTGTGGGCTCAATCCCCAGTGCGGGCGTGCAGGAGGCAGCCGATCTATGATTCTCTCTCATCATTGATGTTTCTCTCTCTCTCTCTCCCTCTCCCTTCCTCTCTGAAATCAATTACAAGATGACTAGTTGGAATGTCATAAAATAGTTTGGGCAGAGAAAGAATTTCTGAGTGTCTGTGGTTGCAGTGGGAGAGGATATGAGACGCCACGGTAACCCCCATGGACGGACATGGAGAAGGAGTTGCTTTGGAGCATCGTGGGGTCATTAATGGAAATTTGGAGGCACCGGTTGGAGGAACCATGGTCCAGAAAAGGAAATGGGGAACCGAGTGTGCAGATCTCCTCCCCGCCAGTTCCGGGAGTTAGAGAAAGGAGCGGTGACCAGGCAGAATTGCCAAAGAGGCCCTGGAACAGAAGAGTACATTTCCCACAAAATATTGTCAGTTGCAATCAAAACAAAACAGAAAATGGTGTTGGGGGTGAGAGAGAAGGGGACAGGGAAGGGAACGTGGCCACTAGGAAAAACCAATCTCTCCTAGTCTTGTCCATTTTTCTTTCCTGAGATGCAGGTCCATTTTTGAATATTGCCATGAATAGAGGTTTCTCCTCTGAAACAGTTAAGTGTTATGTCTGTGCCCTTTTCTTTCTACCTCACATACTAGCTACTCTTCCATTTGCTTTGTTGGTGCCGTATTGTGTTGTTGCTATTGTTTCCTCCATGGTGTCGTTAGGAGCTCCTGAGAGTCCTCAATCCTGACCCCCATGTGGAAAAGCCGGTGGTGGTCCTTTTTCTCCCACAAGCTCCCGTGGCCGTGGATTCTAGGGGTCACCCTGAACCCCTAGAGGACAGGAATGCAGAAGCACAAACATATTGAATTCCTAGTCTTGGGAATTGAACCCAAAGGTTGATTGAGATCAAGAACTCAAGTATTGCCGAAACCGGTTTGGCTCAATGGATAGAGCGTCGGCCTGCAGACTGAAAGGTCCCAGGTTCGATTCCGGTCAAGGGCATGTACCTGGGTTGCGGGCACATCCCCAGTAGGGGGTGTGCAAGAGGCAGCTGATCGATGTTTCTGTTTCTAACCCTCTATCCCTCTCCCTTCCTCTCTGTAAAAAATCAATAAAATATAAAAAAAAAATTAAACAAAAAAGAACTCAAGTATTGAGCAAAGGTGTCATTCTATGGCTATGATGTCACAATGGGTTTGGAATCAGGAAGATGTGAATGAGTGAAGGTTTTTTTGTTTTAAACAAATAGTGTTAGATTTTCTCTCCTTTTCTTAAATGAATCTTTATTGTTGAAAGTATTACAGATTAGCATTAGCTTTTCTTAAAGAAAAGTATGTGAGAAAGAAAACCTGACAGCTTGGTATCACAGCAAGCAACATCATGAAAGAAAAATGCTTTTTCATAAATAATTTACTTTTAAAAATTATTAGCAGGGAAGTAAGAGGGAGGGGTTTGGAGCTAGATTGCCTGAGTATGCATTCTAGCTTTGACATTTCCGGGAAGGTGACCTTGGGTATGTTACTTATTTGTGTCTCGGCTTCTGCCTTTGTGAAATAAAGAGATGATGGTGTTTACAAGAACGGGTTATTGTAAATATTAAATGAGTTCATACTCTTTAATTGCTTAGAAGAATGCCTAGTATAGAGAAATCCCTCCATACACTGAAGCTGGTATTTTTATTAGTTTTATTATTTCTCCATACATCAAAGGCAATAATCTGATTTCACTAGAAAACTTCACAAAATACCAGGCTGCTTGATGTAGGTTGAGTTTGACACCTGGGAAATGTATCATAATGCTTCATGTCATTGTTAGCTTCACGCACAACTCTGCTCCGATTAAATTCTGTTCCAATGCAGGGCTCCTGCTGAGAGTGCTTTATGTCGCACCGAGGCAGAGCGAGAAAAACCCCACCGTCAGGCACAGCCGAAAGGGGAACTAATTCAAGATGAATGATTAAGTGCAAGAACATTGTCCCAAATATGAAGAACTATAGGGAAGGGGCGGACCAGGTAGGAGACACCGTTTGTGCATAAGCCTGGAGAGGAGGAGGAGAAGGGGTGGGTGTTGATGGAAGAGGAGTCACCAGTAGGTAAGCAGTTGACATACAGAGGCAGGGCAGCTAATGGGATGTGAAATGTTCATGCAGAAGAGTTTTATTTTACTTTATTTTTGTTAATCTTCACTTGAGGACATTTTTTCCATTGATTTTTTTAGAGAGAGTGGAAGGGAGAGGGAGAGACAGAGAGACAGAGAGACAGAGAGACAGAGAGAGAGAGAGAGAGAGAGAGAGAGAGAACGAAACATCGATGTGAGAGGAGACACATCATTGGTTGTCTTCCACATGCGCCTGACTGGGATTGAGCCTGTAACCGAGGTATGTGCCCTTGACCAGAATCGATCCCACAACCCTTCAGTCTGCAGGCCAACGCTCTATCCACTGAGCAAACTGGCCAGGGCCAGAAGAGTTTTAAATCCTTCTCCTTCCCCAGCTATGTCTCCTCTCCACCCCCATCAAAGAATAGAGTCTCTTCCAGGAGAAAAATAGGAAAGATTGTTACGAGAATAGAGACGAGATTTCTTTTAGTTTTTGAGTTTGGTTTAGCAGCAGAAAGATGAGAACATGGCAACTTTGGGCTGGTTCATACCTGACTCCCAAATTGCCAGGAATAAAATGAAAGATGCAGATTCTGCCAACTAACCCATCAATCTAAAGATTCTAAGATCCAGCCCGGCCGCTGTGACTCAGTGATTGAGCGTTGACCTATGAACCAGGAGGTCAAGGTTGGATTCAGGTTGCGGGCTCAATCCCCAGTAAGGGGGCGTGCAGGAGGCAGCCGATCCATGATTCTCCCTCATCATTGATGTTTCTATCTCTCTCTCCCTCTCCCTTCCTCTCTGAAATCAATAAAGATATATTTTAAAGATTTAAGAAGCATCTCTAGGTTCCAGTCAAGATGGTGGAGCAGGTCAGCGCTGTGCTGGCCTCCTCCCATGAACACATCAAAAACACAACTGAATTAATTACAGACCCAACCACCCGGAGAACCATCTGAAGACTAGCCGAGCAAATAGATCGTTTTACTATTTTACAGGCGAGGAGAGCAACAATAGAATCTATTCTAGTTTTTATCTTCCAATACCGTCTTCATTGGGAAGATGGAAATAACATCCACCCTTAGGCTGTTATGACAAATGAAGAAGTATATCTAATGCCATTCACACAGTATCTAGCACATAAATAGTAGTGTTTTTTTGGGGGGAAAAAGATGCAAAAATTTCTTCCACTCGCCTCTTCCCAATCCCCCCCACCCCAAGTGAAGTTTACCCTGCTATTAAATTTACAACCAACAGAGGGATGCAGATTTCTACAAAAGAAGTCCCTGTAGGACGTCCCATATGGCCCCAAATCACCGGCAGCTTAAAGATTTCCCACCAACGCAGATATTTTATTCAAGCCTATGGCCCTTGGCCAACCTACCCAAGGTTGCCTCCGCCTTACTATTACAGAGCTGAGCTAAAATGTAGTACGTGTGGGCCCTGTGCCCGGGTGATGGGCAAGTCTCCCTGTGCACCAATGATCCAGCACTTCCTGCCACCGGTTGACCAATGGGAAGAAGGTGATGTAATCCACCATGGATCACGTGGACACAAACAAATACATGAAAATGACAAGACCGTTCAAGTGTACTTTCAAAATTCAAAATTATTATTTACAGAGAGAAAGATGACATCTTCATCTTAAGACTTATTAAAAGAATAACACAAATTCCTATTCTAAAACATACTATGTTACACAATGTGCATGTTTTCCTCTATCTCGTAGATTACGTAATCGGATCCTGGAGATTTAGGTTTAGGTAACAGGAATCCCACCCTGGCCTGCTCCAAAGAATCTAATGCAGGGGTCCTCAAACTACGGCCCGCGGGCCACATGCAAATACAAATATTGTATTTGTTCCCGTTTTGTTTTTTTACTTCAAAATAAGATATGTGCAGTGTGCATAGGAATTTGTTCATAGTTTTTTTTTAAACTATAGTTTAAAACTATAGACCCTCCAACGGTCTGAGGGACAGTGAACTGGACCCCTGTTTAAAAAGTTTGAGGACCCCTGATCTAATGCATCTGAGTTACAAAAGCCTAAAGCAGTTTTTTTTTTTTTTAAAGATGATTCTGACAAGGAAAGGCCTACCATTCCACATTAACTAAAGGTGACCCTCATCAAACAGTACAGTTAAAATTAACAATGAGCCCAGCCCGGCGTGGCTCAGTGGTTGAGCACCGACCTATGGACCAGGAGGTCACAGGTTTGATTCCCGGTCAGGGCACATGCCTGGGTTGCGGGCTCCATCCCCAGTAGGAGGTGTGTAGGAGGCAGCCGATCAATGATTCTCATCATTTCTCTCTCCTTCTCCCTCTCCACTCCTTTCTGAAATCAATACAAATATATTTTTAAAAAATAATAATGAATGCTGTAGGTTGATTTCCCTCAACCACAGCAGAGGGGACTGTGTGCTTTAGAAACGGGGCAGTTTCGATGCTGAGAAAACTCTGAGTGTGTGCGTGAGCCGCGGGAGGGTTACCTGTCCCAGGGACCGCCAGTCCAGGCCAGCGCTGCCGATGTAGACGTGCTGCTTGTCCACGATCCAGAAGGAGGACTGCAGCCGGCCCTTGTTGTAGGCGGACATGTTCATGTAGGTCACCTCGGCGCCTAGGAGTTCAAGGAGATGCCGTCAGCCTCCGTGTCCAGGCCCTGGACGAGCAACCAGTCAGCCACCGCCCCAATCCTCGTGGTGTGCATGGACCCCAATTCAGGGAGAGAGGAGCATCCATCAGCTGCCTCCTGCACGCCCCATCCTGGGGATCGAACCTGCAACCCAGGCATGTGCCCTGACCGGGAATCCAACCGTGACCTCCTGGTTTATAGGTCGATGCTCAACCACTGAGCCACACCAGCCGGGCTAAATTACTTGTTATTTAAGCTGGTTTTGGAGGGCATTCTGTGTCTTTACTGTTATTCTTAAGGTATTAATCAGATAATTTTGTACTTTATTTTATGCACACATAATTCTAGAAGCCCCACGTTTATATATACAAGATATCCCCCCAAAAATGTGTACACACCATATATATATATGTATATGTACACACACACACACATATATTTATTTATTTCAGAGAGAAAGGGAGAGGGAAAAATAGAAACATCAATAATGAGAATCACTGATCAGCTGCCTCCTGCACGCCCCCTACTGGGGATAGAGCCCGCAACCCGGGCACGTGACTGGACCGGGAATCAAACCCTGACCTCCTGGTTCATAGGTTGATGCTCAACCATGGAGCCACACAGCTGTTCAATGAAAATGAAGTGTATTTTAATAAACACTGCCTTTATAATTACTCAAATGTGTGTATATATTTTTGGGGACACCCTGTATATATTTAATATTTGACTAAAAATATTCAGCCCTAGCCTGAAAACTCATGCAATTTTCAGCAAGTTGCACAAATTGCACAATTAAATGTTCCAAATTTTGAAGATTTAAAATAAGCATCCTGTCAAAATACTCATCACAATGACACAAGAGGAAGTACGCTAGTACCTTGTGGTTAAAAGTAAAAAAGAATAAAGTTCCACATTCCCTGTGGATTATCATCATGAAAATCAAACAAATCCCACCTGCAATTTTATTTCCAGAAAGTCACCTGTTGAAAGCATATTATCATCAGCTTCAATAAATTTTATGACCGAACATTTATAGATTCAAGAGGTATATGTAAACTACAATTAGGAAGCACCATATACGTATAGACACCTGTGAACCTTCTATCTTTCTAAAAACTAGAACCTTAACCATTCTTTTTTTTTTTTTTTAAATCCTCACCCGAGGATATTTTTCCCATTGATTCCTGGAGAGAGTGGAAGGGAGAGGGAGGGGAAAAGAGAGAGAGAAAGAGAGAGAGAGAAACAATGACATGAGAGAGACACATTGATTGGCTGCCTCCTACACTCACCCTAACTGGGGCTGGGAACCTGCAACCAAGGTACATGCCCATGATTGGGAATTGAACCAGTGACACTCTGGTCCGCAGGCTGGCGCTCTAACCACTGAGAAACCCGGCCAGGGCTTAACAATCTATTAAAGCAGTGCTTCCCAATCAGTGGCAATTTTGTCCCCCTGTCCCCGGGGGACATGAGTTCTATCTGGAGACATTTTTGTTTGTCACAACTGGGGAGAGGAGCGCTATTAGCATCAGGTGGGTAGAGTTCAAGGACGCTGCTCACACACAGAGCAGTCCCCACAGCAAAGACTGAGCCTGCCCGCATGCTGACAGTCCCACGAGTTTGAAATCCTGCGTTAAAGCTTTTGTGAGTTTATATTTGATCCCATACCCTGCCACGCTCCTCTGATGTAGCCACAATCCTGAACTCGGTGTTGGCCATTGTCTTGTTCTTATTTTTTATCATTTCAAAAATATTTTTATTGATTTCAGAGAGAAAGGGAGAGGGAGAAAAAGAGAGAAACATCAATGATGAGAGAGAATCACTGATCGGCTGCCTCCTGCACGCCCCACACTGGGGATGGAGCCTGCAACCCGGGCATGTGCCTTAACTAGGAATTGAACCATGACCTCCTGGTTCATAGGCTGATGCTCAACCACTGAGCCACGCCGGCCAGGCTTGTTTTTAAATATTTTATCACATGTGCATGTACCCCTAAGAGTATCATAAAAAAGAGTTTATTGCCAGCTTTGGTGTGTCTAACAGGGAAATGCATCAGCATCAATAATTATAGATTTCTGCAAAGGCGCTCAGATCTTTCCTGAAAGCAGTTTGCGGCAGGAACTCTTCTCACCAATCCGGGGCTTCTCTTGAATGTATTAGCTGTGTGAGCAACGCAAAGGTCAAGCCAGCCCATTCTGGGAGCTTTCCTAAGACCAGCACAGTTTAGTCAAGTTAATTAGCAACATTTTTGGAATCCACTGGCTTGGAGGCGAAAGGGGACAGCATAGGATAACAATCACTTGTCATGACCGCATGGCTCTGCGTTCACGGGTTCAGAAAGGTTTTGAGATCATCAATTACAGGCTCCCTGGTATTTGTATAGCATTTTCCTCGTTATTGCAAAGAATGACAAAGGTTACAGAGAACCCGCCCATTCTTTGGCGTCTACCCGCCAGGATCCTAGAGACTGCTAACCAGGGCGCCAGGGATGGAGTCATGCGGAAGGGAATGACTGGTTTGAACGCCCAGCTAGAAAGTAAGCTCAGACTCGAGGTTCCTACTTTAGCTTCGAGGCTGTCCCTCCCTCCTGCCCAGACTGCACAACAATCTGACCTATTCTGACACTGGAGAGGCGTTGCTCTCACAAACGAGTCTCTCAGGAAGGACTCCTGATGAAGTCCCTATTAAAAACTCTCCCCAATCAAAAGCTAAAGGAATACAAGGAGCCCGGCCGGCATGGCTCGGGTTGAGCATGGACCTATGAACCAGGAGGTCACGGTTCGATTCCTGGTCAGGGCCCATGCCCGGGTTGTGGGCTTGATCCCCAGTGGGGGGCATGCAGGAGGCAGCCAATCAAAGATTCTCTCTCATCATGGATATTTCTATCTCTCTCTCCCTCTCCCTTCCTCTCTGAAATCAATAAAAATATATACATAAAAAAAGAATACAAGGAAATGAAATGAAAAAAAAAAAGAAATGGGGAAAAAAATACCACACGCAAAAAAACATGGGGGAAATCTTTGAGGGGCTGGTTTTTATTCGTTTAATTCCAGCAAGTAGCACGGTGCCACGTATGTTTTAGAGGTTCATACACTGAGTGAATGAAAATAACTAAGTGAATGAAGAGTGAGTGTATTTAAAAACACCTTCACTTACCCCCTCTGTCTACCTTTCTTTTTCTGAATAACTGGCCACAGGAAATCAGTGGAATTTCCAGGGCAAATTCTGAGCAAACATATTCGATCCGGAAGGACCCAGCCACAGGCAGGAAGGACGCTAGAGGGAAAATACCTTTTATATGTGGGAGATATGGTTACGGGAATCGAAATATGGCTCCCTTCCAAACAAAAGTCATCACACAGGAATGGGCAGGCAGTTTGACAGGACTTTCTAACGCGACTTGAACAAAATGCCCAACACTTCAGATGCTTTGAGAGCCAAACGTTTCAACATTTATTCTCCCTCTTGGAGAAAAAAAGTCACAAAGCTGCTATCCATTCCAATTCGATAGTCATCCGAGAAATCTCAAATCATCCGAGAAACCAGAGAGTTTTTCTCTTTAATGTTCTTTGCAGCCAACCAGGTCTTCAAGGACAGGGCTGCCCTAATTCCCCTAAGTTCCCGTGAGTTCACCTCCCTAGGCATGTCGGCATCTGAGCTGATTTCTATTCTATTTTTTAAAAATACATGCTTCTTGATTTCAAGAGGAAGGGAGAGGGAGAGATAGAAACATCCATGATGAGGGAGGATCATTGACCGGCTGCCTCCGGCACGCCCCCTACTGGGGATCGAGCAATTCTTCCTGGTCCCCATCTGTTTTTCTCTAAATACTAGAGGCCCGGTGCATTGGGTCTCTCAGCATGGCTGCAGGATCAGGCCAAAACCGGCTCTCCAATATCCCCTGAGGGGGTCCCAGATTGCGAGAGGATGCAGGCTAGGACCAGGGACCCCACCGGTACACAATCGGGGCCAGGGAGGGATGCGGGAGGTTGGCCAGCTGGGAAGGAACCATGGGAGGGCTCCAGGGTGTGTTCGGCTGGTCCTTATGGGCTGGACCCCAGCAGCAAGCTAATCTACTGGTTAGAGCGTCTGTCCCCTGGTGGTCAGTGCATGTCATAGCAACTGGTCAACTGTCTGCCCCCTGGTGGTCAGTGCACGTCATAGAGAGTGGTTGAGCTGCCTTAGCATATCATTAGCATATTACGCTTTGATTGGTTGAACGGATGACCGAACGACCGGACACTTAGTATATTAGGCTTTTATTATATAGGACATTTTTATTGATTTCAGAGAGGAAGGGAGGATAGAGAGATAGAAACACCAATGATCGAGCCGGAAACCTGGGCATGTGTCCTGACTGGGAATGGAACTGTGACCTCCTGGTTCATAGGTCAACACTCAACCACTGAGCCACACATTGGTTTCTATTTTACATCAAAGTCAGGACCTGGTAAAACGGGTAAAATCATTTTCTGCCCTTGGCAGGGGCAAGAAGGCTTCACGGGCAGGTTATCAATTTGTTGCCTCATTTTCACGGTTACACTTTCACAGCAGAGGGGCTGGGCGACAGGGCAGGAGGCAGGGGCTCGCCTGCTGTTTCCAGCTGCTGCGTGGGAGTGAGGACAGGCGCTCAGCCCCAGCCACACGCCTACAACACACCATCCCTCCCTACCTGGCTGCCCTGCCTGGTCTGGGGGTAACTTTTCCACGGTGCCCTCTCTTCATGGACACGCCCCAGAATTCCTGCCTATGCCAGAGCCCTCCTGCAGAATCTATTAAGACAAAACTTTTATTTCTAATGATCAGAATGATCAGAGGCAGCTGATCCATTCTTTGAAGATATCTCCCTTGCGTATGTGGCCGGGGAAGTGTGTTGCATCACGTATGACTGCTCTGGTTATCATGAGAATTCTCACATGAGATCAAATACAAAGTGTGTATCAGAACCTCCATCTCACAGCAGGCCACTGCAGTTGCCCGATTCT